TGAAGTTATTGTCGCGAGTTTATATTAGATTGAGATATTGGGTATTGCTTTGATTATTTTCTATTTTAGTGAGGGTGAGTTTAATGTAGGTCAGTGAAATTATTCAGATATTTTTGCGATGCAATCACACAAATAATATATAAAAGAAAAAACTCTTTGGTGTATGTTACATGATACATTTCATATAATTACACTGTAAACGGGAAAATATTCTGGTTATTCTGACCACTGTATACAGTATATGACAATTTACAAGTGATATATTGGAATGACCTTCAGTATGAAAATACAAACTCAATTCGAAGGTAGAGTAATTGTCACTTATATTCGCGGGATAATCATGGATTATCTCTGTCCATATTGTACGATTCTAGGGAAATTAAATAGGCCCATTGTTTGAATTGAAATCGCGTTAAGTTATAGCTATGATACAGCTAAACCAAATTTTGTACTCATAGAACTCATAGAAGTATCTTCAATTTAATTTCTAAATTGAAAAAGTATGGCAATGAAATTTCTACAATCATCAAACCTAGAAACCATACTTAAAGATAATTTTTTTTCCAGAAAGCATATAAATACACTTTTGATCAATTTTGTCAAAACTAAATAATGGCAGCGAAACCACGTTGCTGATCACATTTGTTATTTCCCCTGCACGGTGCTATAACCACATATGCTGCATGCCTAGTATTAAGTTCATTGGTTATATCACTCATGAGAAACAAATACAGACTTTTTTTTTCAATATCTGCCAATAAATCAAAATGCAAGTCAAAACCAGTGACTGATCATAGTATTTATTCTTCCTAGTAAAATGTTCTTTAGAGGAAGATGATGATGAACAACAATCACTGTCGGTTTAGGGGTAATGTATGGTGTTTGTTTCTTACCTTCTGCCATGACCCGCATTTCACAAAAGTTGAGAAGTTCAGATTTGTCTACAAGCTGCATACTAACATAACGACCAACTATTGGACCGCTACATTCGAAATAAATGTTAGCCTGACTGGTTTGACTTTCAGTTATTATATCACCACATTGCTCATTTTGGGAAATATCTTCTGACAAACCAACTCGGATCTCTGAATTCACAATACGATTTTCTGAAATGTAATAAACAAAATGATAGAGTGTTATGTTTATTTATTGTAGGAATTAGTGCAGGCTGATTACTGGTCAAAATGAAACAGTTTGACATTGATAATAAGATAATTTATCGCAGTAGCTGCATTGTTGAACTGCCATTAGAGTATGCAGTCTATTTGCATATTATGAATGTCAGTGCTATCTGATAGAAAGGCCATCATTTATTTGTTTATTTCCTTATTCCAAAGTTATCTCCTTTATAGACTGACTTATGATGTTTTTTATACAATGCAGTGTTCGTTTTTGTGTAGTCATATTCATAGTCCCCAGATCAGAAGTATTCTATGAATGATATTTATGTTTCATTAACAAAAGTTAAATCTTCAAATTTGGGGCAAACATTTTAAGCTCCAAAGAAACTTGGTCCTACTGACTGAAGAGATTTACATTCTTAGAGTGTTTTAAACACCATGTTTCGATTTATAAAGCAAAATGGGTATAGTGTAATATGTATCCAATACGATTTAATACTATTGGAAGCCATTGTTACATTAGGTATTAAAACATATTACGAACAATACAAGAAGAAACTCACTACAGCAGTCTTGGCGATTAGTAACAATAACTTCATACACAAGGTAGTTTGCACCGAGATCGACTTTCCACCAGGCACCTTCTTCTTCCTGAGTACTGGTACAACTACCACTACCCCAGTTTGTGTTGATATTACCATCCACAGCATTGCTTGCCGGGAAAGATGCTGACCAATCACTACTTTGCGTTGCTGTCTTCCCAATTGCCACATTCTCCAGTATTGGTTGGTATTCTAAGATAAAATTATTGTCGCGAGTTAATATTTTATTGAGTTAATGGATATTGTTTTGATTATATTCTATTTTGCGGAGGGATGAGTTCATTATAGGCCAGTCAAATTATTCTGACATTTTTGAGATACAATTAGACCAATAATATGTAAACAAAAACTCAGAAATTTTTGGTTTGTGTTTTATGACATATTTCATATGATTACACTGCAAACAGGAAAATATTCTGGTTATAGTGACCACTGTATATACACTATAGCCAATCTACAATTGATATTTTGGAATGACCCTCGGGATGCAATTACTAACTCAGTTCGAATGTCGATAGAGTAAATGTCAGAATTATCCACGGCATATACATAATTAATCTGCGTCAATATCATACGTTTCTATTAAAATCAAATGCGCGTATTCTTCGAGTTAAGATCGCGTGCAATAAGTTATGGAAACTATGATACACCTAAACCTAAATTCAAAAATTGTAGTCATAAAATTCCTACAATTATCCAACATAGAAACGTTATTTCAAGACAAAATCTTCTCGAGTCAGCAAAGAATTAAACTTTTGATAAAGTTTGTCAAAAATCAATAATGGCAACGAAACCACGTTACTGATACAAATCATGTTATTTTTCCCGTGAAAAACTTAAGACATATATGGTGCATGCTAATATCAAATTGAGTGATTGAAACGCTAATGAGAAACAGATGCAAAGTTGTTTTAAAATTGTTACCCAAACAATCAAAATTCCAGTCAAACGTCGTAAGTGATCATATTATTTAATTTTTCTCGTAATATTTTCTTTAAAAGAAGATGAACAAAAATAACAACACATCATAGTTAGTTTTGAGGTAATGTATGGTGTTTGTTTCTTACCTTCTGCCATAACCCTCATTTCACAAAAGTTGAGGTATTCGGATTTGTCTACAAGCTGCATACTAACATATCGCCCAACTATTGGACAGCTACATTCGAAATAAATGTTAGACTGACTGGTTTGGCTTTCAGTTATTATATCACCACATTGAGTATTTCGGGAAATATCTTCTGACAAACCGACTCGGATTTCAGAATTCACAATACGATTCGCTGAAATATAATAAACAAAATGATAGTGTCATGTTCATTCATAGTAGGAATTAGTGCTTGCTGATTACTGGTCATTTCCGATCTAACGTGACGTATTGTGTGGCAATATTGCGCGATGTGTACATGTCATTTGGATGAACACCAGTACAGTGAAAGTAAATCATTGTACTCATACACGAATGACGCTTGATTCTGGTTTACTTTCAAAAAAGGAATATAACAACAAAATAAAATACTCAAAAAGGAAAAGTTTGACTTTGATAATTAGATAATTTGTTGCAGTAGTTTGCATATTGAACTGCCATTAAAGTATGCAGTCAATTTGAATATTATTAATGTCAGTGATATCTAATAGCATGGCCCTCATTTATTTGTTTATTAGCAAATGCCAACATTATCTCCTTAGCAGACTGACTTGTGATGGCTGTAATAGAATGAAATGTTCACTTTTGTTTATTCATTTTCGTGGCCCCAGATCAGTATCCTATGAGTCATAGTTATTTTTCATTAAAAAATCTACATTCACGTGTTTTTAAAGTCCATGCTTCGAATTATAAAGCAGAGTGAGTATAGTATAATAAGTATCTAATACGATTTAATACTATTGGAAATATTTCAAAAGCCTTTGTTACATTCAGTATTAAAACAGATTACGAATAAACCCAGAAACAGCTCACCGCAGCAGTCTCGGCGATTAGTAACAATTACTTCATATACAAGATATTTTGCACCAAGATCAACTTTCCACCAGGCACCTTTTTCTTTCTTAGTACTTGTACAGCTACCACTTCTCCAGCTCGTGGCGGTATTACCATCCACAGCATTGCTTGCCGGGAAAGATGGGGACCAATCACTACTTTGAGTTGCTGTCTTCCCAATTGCCACATTCGCTAGTATTGGTTGGTATTCTAAAAGGAATTTATTGTCGCGAGTCAACATTTCATTGAGGTAAAGAATATTACTTTGAATACTTTTTTTTTATTTTGTGGAGGGGTGAGTTTATTCTAGGTCGGTCAAATTATTTCGATATTTTTTGAGATAAAAAAAAGTTCAAAACCTTTGGTGTATTTTACATGGCACATTTCATATAATCACACTGTAGACTTAAAATAACCCGGTTATAGTGACCACTGTATACACTATACGACAATATACAAATGAGTTTTCGAAATTTTCCTCAGTATGCAAATACTGAGTCAGTTACACAGTAGATAAAGCAATTGTCCAAAATATCAACGGCATATACATGGTCTATCCTCATCCCTATTGTACGTTTTTATTGAAATCAAATTAGCGCCGTGTTTCAGTCAAGATCGCGTGCATTAAGTTATAAAAGATATGATACACCTAAACCTATTTCTACAATCATCTATTCTAAAAATATCACTTCAAGACTACTTCTCCTCGAAGAAGCATACAATTAAACTTTTGATCAATTCTGTCAAAAATGAATAATGAAGGCGAAACCAGGGTGTTGATCAAAATTATTTTATTTTTCAGGTATGTAGCTGTAGGTATATATGATACAAGCCTAATATCAAGTCAATTGGTTAAAGCACTCACGAGAGAAACATGCAAACTTGTATTGCCATTTTTGCCACAAAATCAAAATGCTAGCCAAACTTCGTGGTTGGCAATGTTATTTAATTTATTCCGCAAAATGTTTTTTAGCAAAAGAACAATGACAATAACTACACTTCATAATTGGTTTGGAGGTAACGTATGGCGTTTGTTTCTTACCTTCTGCCATGACCCTCATTTCACAAAAGTTGAGGTATTCAGATTTGTCTACAAGCTGCATACTAACATAACGCCCAACTATTGGACCGCTACATTCGAAATAAATGTTAGACTGACTGGTTTGGCTTTCAGTTATTATATCACCACATTGAGTATTTCGGGAAATATCTTCTGACAAACCCACTCGGATTTCAGAATTCGCAATACGATTTTCTGAAATGTAACAAATAAAATGATAGAGTGTTATGTTCATTCTTAGTAAGAATAAGTACTGGCTGACTACTGGTCAATTCCAATCTCTTCACGTGAGGTATTTGGCAGGAATCTCATGGAATGTGTACACGAAATTTGGTTGAACACTACTGCACCGTACATGAAAGATGTTTGATTCTTATGTGAGCTAAGTAAAGTTGGTCATTGAGGGCGCTATTTAATCTGTATTATTTTTGATGATTTCTACTTATCTTTTTTGATAACGTAGGTATGTATTTAAACCATTTTTTTAGGATATCTGATTTGTGTATTTTCAGTAATTTAATGTATTAGTTATTATGGAATTGGCCAAAAAGGGTGAACTTTGAATAACAATAGAAGTTATTTGCATATTTCCAATGAAACTTAGCACTGGGAAGTCAGTTTTGGTCAGTAACATCATTGGCGAAGTATCACCTTCTTTTCACTTCTCTGACCACTGAATCATTCAGACCAGAGTTGGTTTGTGGATGTTTAAAGTCCAGATCATTTCAACCGTGTTTAACACAAGTGCAGTTTATGACTCCTACAAGCCAGACTGTGTTGCATTTGTTAGATTTGACCTACTGACGGAGTATGAAGATTGTTGCCATTGTTCTAGCCATGTGCTTCAATGTCCATGTAATGTTTTGTTCCTGATATGTGATTTAACTTATTCTTTGTTCACTTTCATCGAAACGGCAACTCTAGTATTAGTGTGAATGGTATTTTTCCATTTAAATATAGTTAATTTTCACAATATAATTTCTTATATTTTCATAATGTTTTAGGTTTTAAGTTCCTGTAATTTACAGTGTCATTCTCCTATGTAAGCTTGGTTAATAAACAAAGAAAGAGTTTGACTTAAATAATTATATAACCTGTTGCAGTAGGCCGATAATTGAACTAGCATTAGAGTATGCCTTCAGTTAGCATATTATGAATGTCAGTGCTATCGGATATGATGGCCTTCATTTATTTATTTAGTTCCTGATGACAAAGTTATCTGTTCAGTAGACTGACTTGTTCTTTTTTCGTAATCATATTCATGGTTCCCAGATCAGAAGTATCCTTAGTCATAGTTATGTTTCATAAACAAAAGCTAATTCTTAAAATTCAGGCCAAACGTTTTGAGCTCCAAAGAAACTTGGCCCTACTGACTAAGACGATCTACACACTTTGAGTCTTTTTAAACACCATGTTTCGATTTCTAAATCAAAATGAGTATAGTTTAATATGAATCTAGTAATAAGGTTTAATACTATGGGGAGTATGTCAAAATATATTGATACATTCAGTATTAATACGGATTACGAATAAACACAAAAAAGAACTCACCACAGCAGTCTTTGCGATTAGTAACAATTACTTCATACACAAAGTATTTTGCACCGAGATCCACTTTCCACCAGGCACCGTGTTCTTTCTGAGTACTGGTACAGCTACCACTACCCCAGTTTGTGTTGGTATTACCATCCACGGCATTGCTTGCCGGGAAAGATGGTGACCAATCACTACTTTGCGTTGCTGTCTTACCAATTGCCACATTCGCTAGTATTGGTTGGTATTCTGAAATGAAATTATTGTCGCGAGCCAATATTTGATTGAGTTGAAGCATATTGCTTTGATTATTTTATATTTTGGAAAGGGTGAGTTTACACTATACGACAATCTACAGGTGGTATTTTGAAATTTCCTTCAGTATGCAAATACTGAGTCAGTTGGAAAGTAGATAAAGCAATTGTCAGAAATATCAACGGCATATAAATGGTCTATCCCCATCCCTATTTTATGTTTTTATTGATATCAAATTAGCGCCGTGTATTAGTTAAGACCGCGTGCATTAAGTTACAACAATTATGACGCACCTAAACCTATTTTGTACGCATGGAAGTGTCTGCACTTTTAATTCTAAATTGAAAAATTGTGCCGATAACATTCCAACAACCATCCATCCTAGAAATCTCACTTCAAGACTACATCTTCTCGGGAAGCATAAAATTAAACTTTGATCATTTTTGTCAAATATCAATAATGATGCTGAAACCAGATTGCTGATTCAAATTATATTATTTTTCACGTAAGTAGCTGGTGGCATACGCTGCATGCATAATATCAAGTTGATTGGTTATTTAATTTGTCTCGCAAAATGTTCTTTAGCAAAAGAACAACAACACATCATAATTGTTTTGGAGGTAACGTGTGATGTTTGTTTCTTACCTTCTGCCATAACCCGCATTTCACAAAAGTTGAGGTATTCAGATTTGTCTACAAGTTGCATACTAACATAACGCCCAATTATTGGATTGGTACATTCGAAATAAATGTTAGACTGACTTGTTTGGCTTTCAGTTATTATATCACCACATTGAGTATTTCGGGAAATATCTTCTGACAAACCGACTCGGATTTCAGAATTCACAATACGATTCGCTGAAATATAATAAACAAAATGATAGTGTCACGTTCATTCATAGTAGGAATTAGTGCTTGCTGATTACTGGTCATTTCCGATCTAACGTGACGTATTTTGTGGCAATTTTGCGCGATGTGTACATGTCATTTGGATGAACACCAGTACAGTGAGAGTAAATCATTGTACTCATACATGAATGACGCTTGATTCTGGTTTACTTTCAAAAAAGGAATATAACAACAAAATAAAATACTCAAAAAGAAATAATTAAATAATTTGTTGCAGTAGTTTGCATATTGAACTGCCATTAAAGTATGCAGTCAATTTGAATATTATTAATGTCAGTGCTATCTAATAGCATGGCCCTCATTTATTTGTTTATTAGCAAATGCCAAAATTATCTCCTTAGCAGACTGACTTGTGACGGCTGTAATAGAATGAAATGTTCTTTTTTGTTTATTAATATTCATGGCCCCAGATCAGAAGTATCCTATGAGTCATAGTTATTTTTCATTATTAAATCCACATTCACGTGTTTTTAAACACCATGCTTCGAATTATAAATCAGAATGAGTATAGTGTAATAAGTATCTAATACGGTTTAATACTATTGGAAATATTTCAAAAGCCTTTGTTACATTCAGTATTAAAACAGATTACGAATAAACCCAGAAACAACTCACCGCAGCAGTCTCGGCGATTAGTAACAATTACTTCATATACAAGATATTTTGCACCAAGATCAACTTTCCACCATGCACCTAGTTCTTTCTTAGTACTGGTACAGCTACCGCTACCCCAGTTTGTGGCGGTATTACCATCCACAGCATTGCTTGCCGGAAAAGATGCTGACCAATCACTACTTTGCGTTGCTGTCTTACCAATTGCCACATTCTCCAGTATTGGTTGGTATTCTAAAATGAAGTTATTGCCGCGATTCAACATTTGATTGAGTTATTGCATATTGTTTTGATTATTTCCTATTTTGAAAAGGGTGAGTTTAATCTATGTTGGTCAAATTATTTCAAAATGTTCGAGATGCAACTAGATAAATAATATGTAAACAAAACTTTAAAGTCTTTTGTTTGTGTTACATGTTACATTTCATATGATTACAATGTAAACAGGAAAAAAATCTGGTTATAGTGACCAGCGTATACATTATATAACAATTTACAGGTGATAGTTTGAAATGACCTTCAGTATGACAATACAAACCCAATTTGAAGGTAGATAGACCAATTGTCAGGATTATTCGCGGCATATTCATGGATTATCTCTGTCCATATTGTACGTTTCTAGTGAAATTAAATAGGCCCATTGTTTGAGTTGAGATCGCATGCATTAGGTTATATTACTTATGATACACCTGAATGTATTTTTGTAAGCATGGAAGTATCTGCATTGTTAATATCAATTCAAAAATTGTGGCGATGGAATTTCTAAAATCATCCAGCCTAGAAACCTTACTCCAAGACGACCTCTTCTTGAGGGAGCAAAGAATTAATCTTTTGAAACGACGTTGATGACCACAATTATGTTATTTCTCCCGTAGGGGCTTTAGGCATATATAGGTAGTGTACGGTGTTTGTTTCTTACCTACTGCCATGACCTGCATTTCACAAAAGTTGAGAAGTTCAGATTTGTCTACAAGCTGCATACTAACATAACGCCCAACTATTGGACCGCTACATTCGAAATAAATGTTAGCCTGACTGGTTTGGCTTTCAGTTATTATATCACCACATTGAGTATTTCGGGAAATATCTTCTGACAAACCCACTCGGATTTCAGAATTCACAATACGATTTTCTGAAATGTAACAAACAAAATAATATTGTTGTGTTCATTCATAGTGGGAATTAGGGCTGGATGATTACTGGACATTTTCAATCTCATCACGTGAGGTATTTGGAAGGAATCTCATATGATGTTTACATGTAATTTGGATGAACGCCAGCACAATAGAAGTAAAACATTGTATTCATACCAGAAACACGCTTGATTCTGATTTAATTTAAATGAATAAAACAACGATATAAAATATAAAGTCTATTATGAATGTCAGTGCTATAGGATAGCATGGCCCTTGTTTATTTGCAATTGCTAAAGTAGAAAAGTAATCGTATTCAGGATTCTCAGATCAGGAGTATCATATTAGTCATAGTTATGTTTCATAAACAAAATTTAATTCTTCAAATTCAGGGAAAATGTTTGAGCTCCAAAGAAACTTTGCCCTATAGACTACAGAGATCTACACACTTGGAGCGTTATTTAAACACCATGTTTCGATTTCTAAAGCAAAATGAGTATAATTTAATATGTATCTACTTATATGGTTTAATACTATGGGGAGTATGTTAAAATCCATTGCTCCATTCAGTATTAAGACAGATTACGAATAAACCCAGAAAGAACTCACCACAGCAGTCTTTGCGATTAGTAACAATTACTTCATATACAAAGTATTTTGCACCGAGATCCACTTTCCACCAGGCACCGTGTTCTTTCTTAGTACTGGTACAGCTACCACTACCCCAGTTTGTGGCGGTATTACCATCCACAGCATTGCTTGCAGGGAACGATGAGGACCAATCACTACTTTGCGTTGCTGTCTTACCAATTGCCACATTCGATAGCTTTATTTGGTATTCTACAATGAAGATATTGTCGAAAGTCAGCATTTGATAGAATTAATGAATATTGGTTTAATTTTTCATTTTATTTTGTGGAGAGGTGAGTCTAATCTAGAGCAGTCTTTGAAAGTCGTTGGTGTGTGATACATGATACATTTTATATGATTACACTGTAAACAGGGGAATATTCTGGTTATAGTGATTAGCGTATTCAGTATATGACAATTTACAAGTGATATTTTAGAATGTTCTTCGGTATGCAAATACTAACACAGTTTGAATGTAGATAGAGCAGTTATTAGAAATATCCACGGCATATACATTGTTTATCTCCGTCAATATCGTACGTATTGAAATCAGTTGAAATCGTGCTTTGTTTAAATTATGATCATGTGCATTAAGTTAAAATAGTTGTGATACACCTAAACCCACTTTTGTACGCATGAAAGTATCTGAATCTGAAATTTCTACAATCATTCATCCTAGAAACCTTACTTCAAGACAACATCCTCTCAATAAAGCAATAATGTATTAATCAATTTTGTCAACAATCAATAATGGCGGCGAAACCACGTCAGCTGATTAAAAGTATATCGTTTTTCCCTGTAAGTATCTTTAGCATATATGCCACAAGCCTAATATCAAGTTGATAGGTTGAAGAGCTCATGAGAAACAAATGCGAACTTTTTCGCCATTTTTACCAAACAATTCAGAATGCCAACCAAACCTTGTGTTTGATCATGTTATTTAATTTTCTCATAAAATGTTCTTTAGAAGTAGAAAAACAACAAGAATAAGTCATAGTTGATTTACTGTATTGAGTTGGTTTCTTACCTGCTGCCATAACCTGCATTTCACAAAAGTTGAGGTATTCGGATTTGTCTACAAGCTGCATACTAACATAACGCCCAACTATTTCAGGACTACATTGGAAATAAATGTTAGCCTGACTTGTCTGGCTTTCAGTTATTATATCACCACATTGAGTATTTCGGGAAATATCTTCTGACAAACCGACTCGGATTTCAGAATTCGCAATACGAGTCTCTGAAATGTAATAAACAAAATGATAGTGTTATGTTTATTCTTAGTAGGAATCAGTGCTGGCTGATTACTGGTCATTTTTAATTACATCGCGTGTCATATTTGGTAGGAATCTCAAGGGATGTGTACACTAAATTTTGATGAACGTCTGTAAGTAAAAGTAAAACATTGTAACCATACACAAAAGACGTTTGATTCTGATTTACTTTTAAAGGAATACAACAATGAAATAAAATTCTCAATAGTTTGATAATTAGTTAATAATTGCAGGAGGTGGAATATTGAACTACCATTAGAGTCTACTTGCATATTATGAATGTTAGTGATATGACCCTCATTTTGTTTGTTTATTTGCTGTTGCCAAATTTATCTCCGTTGTAGACTTGTGACGGTTGTGATACATTGAAATTTTCTTTTTTGTGTAATCATAT